TTCTTCGAAGAACGTGGTCCATCGCTCCTGTAACTGAGTCTATCCATTTTGTTGTTGGTTGTCTTCTTCTCTTTCCTTCCACCTTTCCCAGCATCTTTTACCTTTTCCAGACGTTTTACTGATGTGTCTCAAGTAGGATAATTTGAACCTGCTCATCTGTGCCTTGAGGGAAAACTCTGGGTTTTCATTTGTTGAATGATCCATTTGGTTATTTTCCTGATATTTTCAGGAGCCTTCTCCAGTGCCACAATTCAGAGGCATCAAATATTCTTCCGGCTTCCGGCTTCTTCTTTTTTTAAAAAAAAAATATGGTTTATTGATTTTTTAACATAATCACCTTAATATTTGGGAAACAGCATGTTGTCTGGGTTTATATTTAAAAAGCAATCAATAACAATAATTTCTATAATTGTATAGTCCACATAACAGCTTTGCTTGATTTTCTCTTCTTCCAATACTATTCTCTTTTGCCAACCTTGAATTAATACAATTCTTATTCTTTGGATAAATAACAATTAAATATAGACTTTTTTTCCCCAATATTCCTGCAAATAATAACCACATCGATATAAAGCTTCTTTTCTAATGGATCATCTTGATTGCCTCGTCACAGATCCTGTTTATAAAATTCTTATTTAAATTGGTTTTCCCCCACAAGGAGAAGCTTCCTGCTTCTTTAAAGTCACGCAAACCTATGTCTGAACTGCTGTTAATTTTAACAGACCATCAATAAGGAAGAGGAGTTACTTGAGCGGGAGAAAAGTCAGTTTCCTCTACTGCAAACCATCATTTCACACAAGATCCCGTTCGAGCAGCTTTGGGTCACCGCTTACCACTTCCATGTGAAGTCTGAGGAATGGATGAATGGTGAGGCTTTATTAAAATGATGATTAGGGGACTGAAGGCTAAAACATATAAGGAACGGTTGCTGGAGTTGGGTATGTCTAGTTTAACGAAGAGAAGGACGAGGGGGGACATGATAGCAGTGTTCCAGTATCTCAGGGGCTGCCCCAAAGAAGAGGAAGTCAAGCTATTCTCCAAGGCGCCTGAAGGCAGAACAAGAAGCAACGGATGGAAACTGATCAAGGAGAGAAGCAACTTAGGACTAAGGAGAAACTTCCTGACCGTTAGAACAATTAACCAGTGGGACAACCTGCCTCCAAAAGCGGTGAATGCTCCAACACTGGAAGTTTTAAACAAGAGACTGGACAGCCATTTGTCCAAAATGGTATAGGGTTTCCTGCCTGAGCAGGGGGTTGGACTAGATGACCTCCAAGGTCCCTTCCAACTTTATTATTATTATTATTATTATTATTATTATTATTATTATTATTATTATCAGGGCTTTTTTTCTCGGAGAAAAGGTGGCGGAACTCAAACCTGGCCACGCCCTCATCAAACCCTAGGACCGCCCCTTTAGAGAACAGGAATGCAAGTAAAATTTGGGAGGGGCTATTTCCGGTGTGGGAGGGGCTATTTCCGGTGCGGC